AAGATGTGCGGCGAGGATGCTGCCGGCAGCAGTAACCAGTTAAGAACGACAACAAAACTAATAATGCTGGCGGATTTTGCTTTTTGGTCGTTGATGCGCTCGCATACGCCACCACCTGCTTATCGACATTAAGAAACATCTTCGGGGCTAACTCGGGTCTCCAGCCTCGAGATTTTTGTTTTTGTGTTAATATAATATCTTTTCATTTCATTTCCGTTTTCTTTTTACGTTTTCTTCATTTTCTTTTCTTTTCTTTTCTTCCCTCGTCTTTTCCCTGGTGTCGCATGTATGGCGTTTCCGGCAGCATCGCGTGTTTTTGCCTCCAAAATGTCTTTATATACATTCTACATATCTTCCCTCCACCGCGCAGATGAGAATCTCAGAACCCACCAGCCCTTTTACTTCACGGTCGTTTACGAAAAACTTTTATTCCTTGTATATTTTTTTCCTCGCTCCAGCCCTCTCTTCTGGATTTCCCCTCTCCCTCCTAAGTGTGGGGGAAGAGAAGGGGGTCTTCTTCTGTTTTGTATTATATATTGGCGCACGGGCGAAATCTAGGACCTTTGGATACCCTTTTGTTTTCCTTTTGTATTTTGGAAATATATTTAAATGGGTATTTTTCTACGGTGGACAAAAAATCGAGGAGGTGGAAGGGCAGGGAAAAATCTTTACTGCGATCTGGCTGCTGGTGGATATAGGGACTTTTTTTATTTGTATTTTTCTTTTCCCTTTCTTCTTTTCTTCTGTTGCGGGCACCAATTACTCTCAACTCAATCCTTCGTGTAAAGAGATGTCTTACATGACAGTCGATCGTTAATAATGTGTATATTAAATACTAATTTCCTTTGTTGAGCTTTGAGCCGCAAATCAACCTGAAGCAACTTAAGCTTCATTCAATGGAACTTCACTCTATCTTTTCCATCAATCTAAAATCCGTTTTTTGACCTTTCTGCCGACCTCCAATGCCCTGGTCAAACCCGCATAATCTGTGTTGCTGACTAGGGCCCCGAAGCCAAGCTGTCAGCTTCGCCTTCACCCAGATCCTTGTTGGTCGAAATTTCTCCCGACCTCACCACCCCAGCCCAATTCATTTTCCCACGGCTCGACAAACTCTGAGGTCGCCAAAGAAGTCGCAACGGCACAATGTCTGGTCTCCTTCAGAACATATTCAAGGGTGATCCCAACGCTCCATCGACAGCTCCCTCGAGCGGCGATGACGCAGATCCAGGTATGCCATATGCCCATAGCTCTCCTAATTCCCACACCTCTCTCTCCCCTATCCCTCCGCAAATATACCCCATACATCACATAGAAATCCCCCAATTGCTCCGGCCAAAAGGCTCACTAACGTCCTCTCTCCCTTTCTATATATTCCAGACTTTGCAGAGTTTGCCTCCGGGAACCCTGAACCACTACCACCCGTCATACACCCAGCCTCCGCCTCCACACCCGGAGCCGCAGGAACCCCCCAATCAGCCACCGGAGGGGCCCTTCCCGCCGCTGCCGATCATGCCCGGCCATATACAGCATGGTACCGCATCTGGGAACGCCATTCGCGGCAGGACTTCGTGCAAGAAGCATTTGTGATCCCCTTTATCGCCTGCCTGCTCCTGCTGCACGTATGGGGAATGGGCAAGAACCGACGCAAAGCCAAGAAATGGGCGCAGGCGCATCTGCCCATCCTGCAGAGCGAGTTTGCCGTCGTCGGCTATGGCGGCGTGGGTGCGCGGCGGGCGCCGTCGGCGGACAACGTGCAGGCGGAAGGGTTGCCGGCGGCAGCTGCGTCGGCCGACCTTGTCGTGCCGGAGTCGGTGCTGAAGGAGAAGACTGGTACGGAGTTCGCGACGTATGCGACCGGCAGGCAGAATGTGGCGTTCCTGGATGTCTCGATCAATTTGTTCCGGTGGTATAACCCGCTCTACATGCTTGGAGACTCCGTGATCAGTATGTTTCTCGACTCGTGGCCCGTGCCGGTTGAGCGGGTGCAGTGCACGGCGTATGCGTTTGATGGGAAGGAGAGAGATCTTGTTCCCGCGCCATCGGTTGTGGAAAAGGAACTCATCGAGCAGCGCACGAAGGGCGCGAATAACTCGAGTTACGATGGGTTTGTGTTTGCTGTTGTGCACAAGAATTGCATGCGTAGGCTGCGTGAGGATCGCTACGATATCTCCTTGACATTTACGAAGGACAATCCGAAATTGCCTGAGTGGGCGACTGTCATGAGTGAGAGTGCGGAGATTACGGAGTTGATGCTTACGACTGATCTTATCAAGGCTATTGAGGAGGCTGGGGAGGATTTTGAGTACCTGATCATTACAGATCAGCCGCTGGATAAGCCTACGAAGTAAGGTTTTACAAGTTCATATATATACCTGCCCATATTGCAGCTACTAACCAAAACAAAAACAGAATCGACGAAACCACCCCAGGAAAACGCATCAACCTCTCCCTCTGCCTCCCGAAATCCAATTCCTACTCCTCCACCCTCCCCATATTCACCTACTTCCTTCGCCTGACTGACCGTGTCGTGTCCACCGCCCACTTTCGCGCCGAAGTCGTGCGCAAACTTCGCAACACGCGCGACGAAGAGGTTCGCAAGCTGCGCCGCGCCCACGATGAGGAGAAGAATGAGGAGCGCAAGGCGCTGGTGGAGAAGACGAAGAAGGAAGAGCGCGATCGGTTATTGAGGGGGATGTCAGCGGAGGAGCAGCGAAAGTATTTGGAGAAGGAGAGGGAGAGGGAGACGAGGAGGGGAATGAAGAAATCGGTGAAGAGGGGGTAGAGTGTTCTTTTTGGTGTAAGATGAGGGTGTAGGCTGGGGGAATACGGGGCAGTTGTCCTTTGATTTGGTCTGATGCGATGTGATATGGGGCGGTTGATTTGTGGCTAGGTCAACTTTTCTTTGTCAATTTTCTGGCAAAGTGCGAAGGACACTCGTTGGGGTGTGGATCGGTATTTATAAGGGAAAATCATAACGTCTTTTTTTCTTTTTTCTTTTTCTTTTTTTCCATTTATTTTATTTTGGTTTTATTTTATATTGTTTATCTATCTGTTTCTTCTTTTTCACCTTTCGGGCCCATCTTGTCTTACGTTCATGGCGATATCTTCCTTCGTTCAAAGATGTTTTACTACAACTAATTACCAACTGGGTATTTATTGGGAGCTTTTCCATGACCTGCTTCCTTTATTGCTTCCTGATCCACTAGCGTTACGATTTTGACTGTCCGTTTCTTCATTTCTAAATCTTCTGGCTTTGTCCATTCAAAGAAACTTCCCAAACCAAGGTGCTGGGACACCGGGATTTATCCACGACTACTGATATGGGGAATAAGGTAAGTAAGTATATTTGGTAGAGAATGTATACGATATCAAACTATCAAGACCTCTTTTTTAGCCTCATATCGTTCGTTGTGGCAGGAGAATTCTACTTTCTTCATTTTTTTTTTTTTTTTATTTTTTTTTTTTTAAAAAAAGGCTTTTCCATATTTCTATATATACAGTTTGAATATCAGACAACGCAAACAGGGCCCCTTCATTTTCCACATCACCTGCTCACCACAAGTCCAGCCAGAATGTAACACTTCATAACCAAAAAGGTATGCTATTCCTGCATTGAAAAGAAACGCATTTTTCTCAGGACATTGAGGTGTGGATTTGAATGAGCTCCATGGAACTTGCGCATGCTTCGAATTCTCAAACAAGCTGTCTCATCACCGGCTCCTTTTGGTACGTTAATACCAGGTTTTGTAGCCCTGTAATTTGGTGCCGATAGGGTTAGCTGTATTATACCAGAGCAGATTGGGGGATATTTAAAAGAGGGGGGGAAGGGGGAATGAGGTTTTAAAAGGGAGTCAAGCTTACGAGAACTGTTCGGCACATGGCGTAGAAAGATGCTGTGGTAGATGCGAAAAGAAAAGAAAAGAACACAAAATGTTAGCTACTTGGCTGGGCTCGTTTGACAGAAAGAAGAGCCCCCGCGACGGGAAATGGGAGGGAAACATACCACCGAAGGAGCCGAAGAGGGAGATGTAGAATGGGTAGAGAAGGTATGGACTGCGGTGGGACTGTGTTTTTAAGCAGCAATTAGACACCATATCATTTTATTTTGGGTTTTCTCATGGATTATTGTGTAATTAATTGGATACTGATTTTCTTGGGATGATTGGGGGGAAGCGATTTGAACGCACCTTGTTCCAGATGCGCTTGCCGTCGTGTCTCTGGAAGAGGCGTTGGTAGTAAGGGACACGATTTTCGCGGAAGACGAAGCTAAGGAGACAAATTGTGGGTGTTAGTATATATCACTGAATAATCGACATGCGGATTTGCTCCATTGGTGTCCAAATGGTTGGCTGGATGTCGAATAGGAAATTGGGACATCCAGGCAGCTTGCGATGGGCAATTCGATAGGAAACTTACCCGGCCATTCTGGGGAGGGTCCGGGACACCATTGTTGCGAAGCCTGTGAGAGTTAAAATGGGGATTCAAGAGAGAAACTCGGGGTCAATAGAGGGTGAATTCGAGGTTTGATGTTGAACAATGAGGTTCCTTTCCCTTTTCCGTGCCGAAGTTGTCGGATCATCCACAGCATCACGTGTCTACTAAAGGAGACTAGCTGTTTTAGGTAGATTGCTTCTTAGTATCAATTAATTCTAAACTTACAAGGAATCAAATTTTCGATGCGGGACATGCGATACGCAAGCAAGCGACAAGCACTGCTTTTTCACATTCTGCTCTTTCATCCTTGCGGCATCGGGGAGCTGCTGAACGCACGTAACCCTCCATTGTTGCTACGCCCTCTCTATTGCGACCCCAAATGCAATTGGCTGTCCAAAAGCTGCTGGGAACACGCTCGACACTGTCACTCCTCAGCGCTCTGATTACTGCCCCAACTACGCTGGACCAATTGCATTTGGATGAGCTGTGCTTACGGTGCGCAATACGTAACACTAGAATCCAGGGCGATAAATGTTCTGCGGCAAATTCATTGAGGGCGTGCGGAATCAGAAACCCGAGCGGAACATGGAGACGACGCCAACATGCGAGACTACAGGGCAGAGATCGCCCAACGACAGCTTACGAAGAGGGACACGGATATTCTCTTAATTTCCAGCGCCACATCAATACGCAATCGGCCGGGATAGACGCATCGATACCCGTGGAAGAAGAGAATGCACCTCCTAGTCCCCGCGGGCTCTCGAACTATCTGAACGACTCAGCTACCTTTCGTTCTGAGGACTGGTTGTTGGATCCCGACAGGATCCAGTTTGAATCGGATGTTGGCCACTCTAGAGATATCGGAACTAAGTTAATTGACGATCCTCGTTTCGCCAATGATTTTAAGCTCTGGAAACACCTCCTCCTTTATCGCAAACGACACCACGGTGACGATGGGGTGATAGCTATCTGGAAAGGGCTAAGGGAAAGAGGACAGCCAATTGATTTACCTGTGGATGGCGAATATGCCTCGCTCCTATGGAGAAACTTCATCATAGTTGGCTGGAAACGCGATGATTTTTTGACTGAAATACATTCCTACGCCTCTGAACTTTATGAGCGATCTGGAAAGAGTTGGGATAGGGAGAAATTTTACAAATCGATTGTGGTTGGGCTATTCAAAGCGGGGCAATTTTCTAGGGGGGTTGAGTGGCACGAAAAATTAAAAAATACGTACTTGTCGAATCCGAATGCTATGTTATTAATGCTCTTTGAGCCCGCTGTCTCTTCCGATGGTGGGCTAAGAGCATTAAGGAAGATCTGCAAGACGCTCGATAATCACCAAATTTACTGCCATACCGTGCCATTTTTAGTGAAAGCTGGGAGGCTAGCCGATGCTTTCGCTATGCATGAATTCCTCTTGCAACGGAACGACCTACCCCAATCAATCCAAGATATCTCACCTTTGATAAAATATCTACGACACTTTGGCTCGGGTGCCGAAGTAGATTTGTTCCTGGCAAATTTGAAATTAAATGGCTTATTCCAAAAAGAAAAGTCAGTAATGTCACTCGCCTCCAGGAGTAGTGGTCGAACGAAGATATATGCCCCCACCACAGCTAAGGAGGTAGAAAAGGAAGCGAATGCAGTCAACGATAAACTCGGCGCTCGTCTGTTTGCAACGAAGACATTTACGTTTGAGCTCATCCTTGCCGGTGTCAAGGCGTTCGGCGCTACCGCTCTCAAGCCACAAACCCTGAGGCAGATGGCTCTAAAGGCAGGAGATGCAAAAACGCTATCCGAACAAATCGATATTTTGAAGAAAGAAGGCATTTCAGTTGGAAACTCGGCATTTTCAAGGGTTGTCCAGAAACTAGCCTCGGAAGGGGATGACTCTATACTAAATGAACTTTTGGAGAGCGATCTGCATCCGGAAGTTCTGGAGAACCTGGAAACTGCAGAAGGTCTCTTTAATTCCTATTCCGCCGTTGACGACCCACAGCGGGCTCGTATGCTGTTCAAAATTTTGTCCATGTTATCCACCGAAGATCCATATCATTACAACATCCTCCTTCGAAATGCAGTGCATTTAAAGGATTGGCAGAAAATCCCTCGTATCCTAAACCAAATGAGGGACCACGACATACACCCTACCAAACATACTTTAGATGTGATGGTCAAGAAGATACTGTTCCCTCGCAGGCGAGGAATGCAGGAACCCCCCCATCCGGAGAATTTTCGTGCAACCATGTTCTTGATTGGCATATTACAAAATATGGTCGGCGCAGGGATAGATGTTCCAGCTCGATATTGGACAGAAGTGCTGAAGCGACTTGGTATGAGCGCGGATTGGCAAGAATTCAGGAAACTGTGCCTTTGGCTGGCACATTTTTACTTCCCAGTCAATCCCAAGCGAACAGTGTCAACGTTCAAAACGGATGCTACTTCCCCTGATCGCCCTATCTCCGATTTAGACCATAAGAAGTTCTTACCAGCCGCACATCCCGAATCTCCCTTGCGCCAACTCTTTTCTGTGCATTTACAATATGCCATAATAGCCTGGGGTTTTAGCCTTCCACCCAGCTCCAATCAAATATATCACAATCCTTTCAGCGACGAGCGCGAGAAAATCGTACCCTGGATACGAGGGCACGTCCTCATACGAGAACTGAAGCAAAAGGGAGTAGTCGTGCAAATGAACACAGTTCGTAAGGTAACCCGACATCGGCTCGCTGTATTATTTGGTGAGCACCGAGTTTCTAGACGCCCGAAAAACCGCATGTTGCGGTCTACAAATCCATGGGCCCTCGACGAGATATTGCACGATATAAATAATGTTTGGGGGTTCCCATTGTTTGGGAATCTGGCGGAAGAGGATATTTATGACCTCGTCAACCCTAAGACTCGCTACTGGAGTGCGACGGGATATGCGAGTGAGGAAGGCATGTGGCCAAGGAGACGAGATCATCTGCAAGTATCGAGGAAACGAACCTATACGGAAGAAAAGCAGAAAGTGGAGAAGCGACTTCGTAATAACGATAATAATAATGACTGAGGTATTGTTTAAATCATTTTGCTGAGATCTTTGGTTTCGTTTAGAATACTCAATGACTTCTTTTCTCTTCCTTTTTTGTCCCCTATTTACTTCCAATGCCAGGGGTATATATTCTGTGCCATAACCCGAGATAGGCCATTGGTTTGCAAGAGAGCCGTCACCTATGAGCTCAATCACCTTTGTTTGCCAAAGACAATCTACATTATTTCGTATCATGAGATTACATATTTTTTATTACCTAGATT